GTATGTGTAAAATATGAGACTCCAAAAGGAAAAATCAAGTTGAGTGGGTCAAGAACGCCAAATTTAAAATACATCATTACTTGATGATTTAGACTATAATGAGAAAAGAATCTTTGTTATTAAAGAAGAGCTTTTAAAAGCAGGGTGGTAATTTAGCACTACTATTACTACTATGTGCTAAGTGTTCAAAGCAGACATCAAACATTACACTCGCTAACTGAGCATTATGATCAGCTAATTAGTTTCAAAATCCATGGCAGATTTTTTTTATTATAATTTTCTGAATTTTATACAGTATATTTTATATTTAGACCCCCTCCCCCATATACATCTCTCTTATAGCCCCCCTCCAGATTTCATGTACTCTGTCATTTATATTAAAGTTATCAAGACAAGTTTTTGTCCCCAAAGGTCCTTTGGTATATGTCCATCCATTGGAGCCTGGTTAGCCTATCTAGTGCCAAATCCTTAAGAGAAAACCAACACTCTCTCTCTCTCTCTCTCTCTCTCTCTCTCTCTCTCTCTCTCCGTGTGTGTGTGTCAAAACAGTTGCTGAGAGTTCCTCAGCTAAGGTTGGGGCTTCTTATCCAATTCCCCACTTCTCTGCTGGGATTTTGTCTGGCTTGAGCTTGCATGGCTCTTGTTCATGCTATCACTATTGTTGTAAGTTCATATGATTAACTTCCTAGCTGTCTGGAAAACTCTGTTTCCTTGTGGTCACCCACCACCACTGGCTCTTACAATCTTTCAGCCCTTCTTCTGCAATGGTCTCTGAGTCTTGGGCAGCAGAGGTTTGATATAGGTATCCTATTCAGGGAAAGGCATTCTCATTGCATATTTTTTCATAATTACTGTGATAGAAGTGAAAACTTTTTTTATTAAAAAACTACAAAAACTTAAAGCTTTCAAAAATCAACTTTACAGGGGCTAAAGAGATGGCTCAGCAGTTAAGAGCACTGACTGCTCTTGAGGTTGACCCAGTCCCCAGCACCCAACATGGTTACTAACAACCATTTGTAACTTCCAGTTCTGAGACTCTCTTCTATCTCTGTGGACACTGCACTCATGTAGTGCACTTATACACATGCATAAAAAACACACATACACACGAAAAATAACTTTTTTAAAAGAAAATTTTGAAATCAACTTTACAAAATTGAATCTTCATTAAGCCCATTTTTAAAAATTTTTTTTATTATTTTTATTTTATGTGTATGCGTGATTGTCTGCATATAGGTAGATACACCCATGTCGTGCAATGCCCACAGAGATCAAAGAGGCTGGCAGATCCCCTGGAACTGGAGTTACAGACAGTTGTTGGCTGCCATGTAAGTGTTGGGATTCTAAGAAATACAGTAAGATATGACTAGATCTATAGGCAACCTATATATTCTTACCATTTTTCTGCTTGCAGATAATCCTTTTTGGTAAAATGAATCATAGCCTCAAGAGCATGAACTTCAGGTAGGTCTGGGTAAGGAGAGAGAAGGTCTTCCATAACCTGTAAAGGAGATGTCTATAAACTCCATATCCACATTAATAAAGCCTTTTAACTTTTTCTCGCTTGTTGGGTTTTTGTTTTCCTTCCATCTTATACTTTATTTTGTTTTTGGTGAAGAGGACCAAATCCAGGATCTTACACTTACTATGCAAGCAATGTTCCACTGAACTAAATCCCCAACAGTTACTTTTAACCTCAAATAATACTCAGTTTGCATAAAAATCACCAACCTTTGTAGCTTCATTTACTGAACCTTTGTTCAAATAGGCCAAGCTTTTAAGAACCAAAAGTTCTGGGACATTATTTGCATCAGAAACCTAGAAAACAATTAAGAACTGCTATTAATCTTTGAACAGAACTTTAGTAATGTTTACTCTAACTAAAGAATGATCATAGAAGAGCATAGTCCTGACAGAGTAAGGACACAGAGGCCCTACTTTTCATTACTATTAATACTTTCATGATTTATAATCATTTTATTGGGAGATTTTCAAATAAAGTAGAAAATTAAGGACTAGCATAATAAACTTCCATGTACCTACTATCCAGCTACAAAGTTAGGAACTCAAAGACGTTTTTCATCTACATATCCATCCTTTTACCACACTCCTCCTTAGATGATTTTAAAACAAATCTCAGATATTGCAACTTCTCATAGTGATAGTTCAGTGTCCATATTTAAAATATTCATTTTTAAATGATTTAGCCACACTATCATTGTCATAATCAAAGAATTTGAGCAACTTATTTGTTTTAGTCAAAATTCCATTAAGGTACATATATTTCAATACACTGATAGCTCTCTTAATTGTCTTTCATCATCTATAGGGTTCCCTCCCATCTCTTCTTTCTCCCTTATAATTTAGTTGCTGAAAGCATGGGCCATTTGTCACTGTTTCACAAAGTCTAGATTTATTGAATACACGCTCATGATGTATGACATTCTACTTAGTCCCCCTAATTAGAGCTAGAAGCCTGACCTATTCCAGGTTTGATGGTCTAGCAACATGACGTCAAGTGTATAAGCATATGGTTCTGTCAGACTACCTTTCTTTCTATGGTAGTCATTGATCCTCCATGCCTAGATCTATTCATTCATAAGGGATTGCGATATGGTGGCTTCCTACTTCATTATTGCTTTTTCCTTACAGCACGGAATACTTCAAAAATGAGAAATTTCTCCTCCCTCCTTAAGCATCTAGTTCCCTTGAGGAACAGCTCATATTGGAAAGGCACAATGAACTTTGACTCTTTCCAGTTAGCTCCTTAGCATCTTGCAGTATGTTTTTTTTCTTGAAGTCATTCTGATTTTTTTTTTCTTCTTTTTGGTATCATCATGAACACATGAATTTAAATACACTTAAACATAATGTTTCAATTCACTGCATGTACTGATGCTCTATTTGTTCTATGAGAATCTCTTCATGCCAGCTCCTGTGCCTGTTTGACATGTCCTTTTTGGTTTCTTTGCTTTCTAGCATGACAACATGCTCTGTGATCATCCCACACATTTTCTATCTCAGATATGAATTCCTTTAATTTTTTTTTTTTTGGTCTTTTTGAGACAGGGTCTCCCTGTAGCACCAGCTGGCCTTGAACTCACAGAGATCCACCTGCCTCTGCCTCCTGAGTCCTGGGATTAAAGGCGTGCACCACCACGCCTGGTGAATTCCTATACTTTTTAAAAAAACTTTTCATTTTGTTTTTAGGTGAAAAAAAGTATTACAAAGATCTCTCTAAAGGATTCATACAAAATACATTAATTGAGGAAAAGCAAGTAGAAAATGAGGTTCCTTTCAGTTTTCTTTTTTCTTTTTGAGGTAGCATCTCACACTGGTGCTCAGGATGGCTTAGAGCTTACTATGTACCACAAGTCGGCCTTGAACTCATTGCATTTTCCTGCCTGAGCCTCCCAAGTGCCAGGATTACAGGCATGAGCCACCAAACCCAGCTATATAGTTTTTGAAGAATGCTAACAACTGCTATAATTTTATTTATTTAATAAATAAAATATTATTTTTATTTTATATGTATGAGTATATTGCTTGCATGTATGTAAGTGCACCCATGTCGGTCAATGCCTGCAGAGGTCAGAAGAGGGTGTCAGACCCCCTGGAACTGGAGTGACAGACAGTTGTTAGCCACCTTTTGGGTGTTGGGAACTGAACCCATGTCCTCTCCAAAAGCAGCCAGTCCTCTTAACTGCTGAGGAGCTCTTCAGCCCCCAGCTTCTATAATTTTAAACAAATGCAATGCAAAACTTTTTGAAATATACAAAGCAATGATTAAAAAAAAAACAACCTCCAAACCCTACAAAAACTAATGGTATAATTTTTAGACGAAACAGCCTTTACTTGACAAAACTCTTTAAGGTACAATGTTGCTACAGTTCATAATTTACCTATTATGTTTTTTTCACTAAAGAATTTCAAATTACTTGACCCAAAAGCATTGCTTTCCTCCTTAAAAAAAATAATCAATGAGTAAAAGAAACCACATTCTCTACCATAAAGCTATTAAAATTATCATTTCTTTCTGATGGAAAAAATTTAAAATCTAAAATCCTAGGTAACAATAATCAAGTCATACTAATACAGTAAAATGAAAACAAGAAGGGAGAATAAGTGTCAAAACAGAGCAAATGAATTTCTTCATACGAGAAGTACTGAACTACCTAGCCATGAGGCAAACAAATAACTGGGGTTTTCAAGAGCCTGAATGGCTTGGCAGAGCATAGACATGCTGAATTCATACCTGTAACTCAAAATTTACCTAAGCAAATATCTAGCAGGGAATATGGCTGTTGGCTGCTTTGTTGGAAACTGAAGCTAAAAGAAAACTCAAAGACTACCTGATCAAGAGTACGGATAGCTTCCTCTGAAGAGTCGCAATCTGAGAGTTTGATCAAAGCCTCTGCTTTCAAACGAAGACAAAGATTCCTCTGATGAAGACTGCCACCCAATGCACCGGGACTGTCTATATTCTTTAGAGCTGACAACAAGGACATATGAATGAATCTTTAGCACTTCAGTGTTTGCTTTTCAAAAATGACATTCAGGGTCAATGAGATGGCTCGTGGGGTAAAGGCACTTGCCACCAACCCTGACAGTCTGTTTGATCCCCAGAACCAGCATGGTGAAAGGAGAGAAACAACTCCCACAAGTCTTCCTCTGATCTCCACACATATGCCATGGCATATGCACATCCACACAACATACACACCCACACACACCCCCAACACACATACACAAACAAAATAAATAGGTGTAAAAATGTTTTTAAGAGTGACATATTTATTATAAATCGCAGATACAATAAGCATATTTTCTAAAATACATATGCTCATGAATAAATTGAAAAAAAATGTTATCTAAAATTTTTCTAGAAAGATCTGAATTTAAAACAGAACACAAGAATTTAAAACCTCTATCTTCACATGATATGTAATAAAACTAAAGATTGTAAAGAACAAATGAAATGAAAACACTAAGACACAGGAAGTTTAACTTTTCCATGGTCTCCGAGGGCATGAGTTGGAATTCAAATCTGGTAAGAGTCCAGAGAATGGCTGTCAGTGTCTCTTCTATCTGCTACATTATAAAGACTAGCCTGTAGCCAACGCAGAGCAAATTAGGGATACTGGAAGAAGAAAGAAGCTGAACTTGAATGGACCTGCCTGAGCTGTTTATCAGTTACAGAAGCTTGGCTACTAACTGGGTCAAAAACAGAGACTCACCTCTTCTCTATATCAGAGACATAAAGACTGTATGAAGGGTCTGGATATACCAGAAACTTCTTTGTCATAAGGCAGAGCATCTCCACCTAAGCCTAAACAACTATTAAATTCTAAATGTGAGAAAACTTTTGGTAAATACTCACTGCCACTTTAAAGATAAATATACTAGTAGGCATGCACATAAATTTGACATTTATTTATTTATCTTCCTCAGTGCAAATTAAATTAACCATGAATGTAAAATGGAAAAAAAAAAAGGACACCATTTACAAAACAGTTATCTTTCTCACATAAGATGAAAACAAACAGGATTGGTCACCCCTATATATGAACACAAAGTATATCAGAAATACCTTGATTGCAGGAAAGCACAGCTTCTTTAGGTCTATGTATTTTGATTTGGGCTTCTGCTAGATGATACCATCCAGTTGAGCAAAGAGGACTTTCTTTCAGCCCTAAAAGGATGAAATAATCACAAATACCATCGGTCCTGGGGATCGAACTCAGGCCCTCATACTTGCATGAAAGCACTTTGTTTACTGAGAAATCTCCCCAGCCCCATGTCGTCACAGTATTTCTAAATAGACAAATCAAATTATGAAACTTCAATGCTCAAGTCCATGGGTTCTTGCTTTCCTCAGGGTACAGTTTAAGCTCTTTAAAAAGGTTTGCATGACTCTCTCTAACCTTCCTTCCTGTCCCTTCCTCCAATCCATCCTTCGTTCTCAAATCTTATGGCACTACCTGGAATAACAGTGTTCCCCGCCCTAAAAGGATGAAATAATCACAATACCATCGGTCCTGGGGATCGAACTCAGGCCCTCATACTTGCATGAAAGCACTTTGTTTACTGAGAAATCTCCCCAGCCCCATGTCGTCACAGTATTTCTAAATAGACAAATCAAATTATGAAACTTCAATGCTCAAGTCCATGGGTTCTTGCTTTCCTCAGGGTACAGTTTAAGCTCTTTAAAAAGGTTTGCATGACTCTCTCTAACCTTCCTTCCTGTCCCTTCCTCCAATCCATCCTTCGTTCTCAAATCTTATGGCACTACCTGGAATAACAGTGTTCCCCTTTCTCAGCTACTCCACAAATTCATTTGTTGGCTTAAAATGCTCCTCCAATCCGCCCCCCCGCCTGCCCATCTCTCCTTGCTTGTAACTGTCAGTCATATCTCAGCTTTAATGCAAGTGCATCCCCCCCTAAAAAAAAACATACCTGAGATAAATGTGTTACACCTTTCTATTTCTAAGGCTTCCTCCAAGTGTCCCTAGTTTACAAAGGAAAACACTAAGAAACAGAAAAGTATAACTTTTCCATAGTCTCAAATCCAAGAGTTGGAATTCCAGTCTAAGCAAACTCCAGAGTATGTAGACACATTTTCCCCTTTTATCTTTAGCATTTTCTTAAAGGGAGGCTAAAATAGATGTCTCCATTGACTGAATAACAATTATACCTTGTATTAAATGCTATACATATTTACCTTCTGTTATGTTACTAATAGCATCTTCATACTTTTTGTCTTGTAATGCTTTAATGCCTAAGCCAATGAGGCCTGGACCACTTTTTGAGTTCAGTTCCACTAGTTTACAATAATACTGCTGTCCCTCATCTGTAATACTCCCTGGAATTAAAAGAAAAAGTTATTAGCATATATATTTAGATATATACCAAATGTCTAACTGCTAAAATCTATATACTTAAAACTCAGCAGCTACTTTATACGTCCTTTACCATGCCCTGATTCAAGGAATTAAAATTTTAAACAAACCAAAAAATACAGAAGACATTAATACTTCACTAATACTTTTTTTAAACATTGGAAGTGAAAATCAGACTCTGAATCTGAATTCAAACCCAAGGGTTTCAAACAAAAAACCTATTGCTACTTTTTGGTAGGCAAAGCCATATCCCCTATGGCTTGCCAAGTCTCCTTTTCCTATTTAACAGTAACAACTTTAGTTATTTTATTTAGTATTTACATGAAGGAAGCCCCTGTCAAAGAAGACATCTTCATCAATTTCTGTCTGAAGGTAACAATGCAGTGCTAGATGAACAGCAGTTAGCTTCAATAGACTTTCCCAGGATCCTAGTATCAAAAGACACTGGGCCACTCATCAGGACAATGAATAAAGACTCCTAGGGTAACAAGTTTAGCAATATACTTTCACATTTTTCTCACATTATCTTTGTCTATATAATAATTGGCTTATATGCTAATCATCCAGTGATGCATTTATTTTTATTTTTATAAAATAATTTAGGTAGGCCAGATAAGGATGGTGTTCACCCTTAATCCCAGCACTTAGGAGGCAGAGGCAAGAGGATCTCTGTGAGTTGGACCCTAGCCTGGTCTACATAGCAAGTTCCAAGCCAGTCAGGGCTACATAGTGAGACCTTGTCTCAAAAATAATAATAACAATAATTTAGTTTAGAAAATATACAATTAGTATATTTCTATTTTCTTCAACTTCAATCAATCTTAGATTCTAGAAAATTCTAGAAAATTTCTAGAAAAGTACAAAACAATTGAAAAATGTCATTTCTACTTTTAGAATTAATGACAAGCGTTCAACATTTTAATAAACTGTTTATTAAAATCATACAAGAAAGTACTTTAAAAGTAACTAAGTAGCTGGAGAGATGGCTCAGCAGTTAAGAGCACATACTGCTCTTGCGGAGGACCCAAGTTCAGCTCCCAGCACCCACAACTGGCAGCTCACAAATGCTTATAATTCCAGCTCCAGAAGATCTGACTCCCTCTTCCGGCCTCCTCAGGCACCTGCACTTACGTGTACAAGCCTACCCACCCATATACATATACATAAAATTTAAAATAATAATAAAAGCTTTTTTAAAAGAGGTAATTAAGACAGACAACTTGAAACAATAAACATGGGGAACAAATATTTTTCAAAGACTTGATCTTTTAACATCAAGTGATATGGTGACATATATTATATA